AAAGCGAAGGCGTAAGTGGAGAGTTAGGCAGAGGTCAGGAGGACAGACAACTCTCTGAAGAAGTGTGGCAGCGAAGGAAGGAGGGGAGCATGGCAGGTACAGAGATGATTTTGGAAGAGGGGGGCTTGAGCATGTTTGTATCCCAAGAAGGATGCAGACAGAAGCAGGGCTTCAAGAGGCAAGAGAGATGAATCGATGGGGCAGGGCCTCCGAGAAAGGAGAAGGTGGGATCAGAGCGCAGGAGGAGGAGCTACCCTCAGCCACTGCCTGACACTGAGAGCAGTCCTTGCCCCTACCAGCCACTGCTGGCCTCAGCACCGTGTCTCCTAGGGAGCACGCCTTGACTGTTTACCTCTACGGGGTGGAACACCCCTGGCAATGCCTCTTGTGCTGTGTGGATGATGCCAGCCTACGAGGCCACCTCTGGGCCTCTGGTTACACTAGCCTGGCAGTTTCTTAGCTTCTGGTTATCCTTTTTAATCCAATATCTGAAAAGTGATTCACAGCCAAGCATGTTATGTTCTAGGTAAGACTGTTGTTTCTCTGCTTTTTCCCTACAACAGATTCCACTTACTTGCCAGGGCAAAATGCTCAACACAAGGCTCTATAAAAGTTCTTATCTCTTCCCCATGCCATGCTTTCCATTGCTGCTTCTATTTCCTTTTCACTTTTATTCTCTGCTCTCTGTACATGTTGATGATTACAACTAAAAGTTACAGAGGAGTATTTATCATCTACAAGGTGTTTTCTCACTTGATTCTTCTCACAATCCTACAGGGTGGATATGTCATTAAAGCCATTCTACAGATAAGGAAACTGAGGCTCGGAGAAGTGAACTATCTAGTGCAAGCCTTGACAGGCAATACAGAATGAGCTGGGATGTGAATCCAGTATCCCAAGACTCCAGAGTTTATGCTGGAAGAGACTAAACCATACAAATATTTCATTTCAACTACTGATTTTGAGCTTCCATGAGTTTCAGTTTAAAGCAGTTTTAATTTGAGGTGTATATCAATTATCTATTGCCACTATAATGTTATGTAACCAACAACCACAAAACCTTAATGCCATATAAACATGTATTAGCTCACAGGTCTGCATGGTCCAGCTCCTCTGGGCTGGGCTTGCTTCTATGCCTCTGATCAGTGTGTGTTGGATGACCAACCAGCCCTGCTGATTTGCCTGTGCTTATTCATAGGTATGGAAGTTGTCTGGCTGTTGGCTGATCCAGGATAACTTTGAATGAGACGACTGAGGTCTAGTTCTAGTCCATGTCTTTTTTCTTCTAGCTAGGCCAGGTATGTTTTATGGTAATGGCAGAGGAGGTAGAAACATGCAAGTCTCCCCTTGTATCACTCTTGTTAACAGTCCTTTGCCCAAAGTAAGTCACACATCTGGTTCAGATTCTAGGTAAATCTTTAGAGAGGAATTGGAACGTCATGTGGCAAAGGGCACAGATGTACAGAGGGGTGAAGAATAGGGGCATTAATGCCATCAGCTTACCATGAGATGAACATCCAAATTGAGACTTTCTCATTTCTACAGATTGATCATTCCGTTAGAATACAGCTAGAAAGCAATGATTTCCATCTGGTGGCTTCCATTGCACTTAGAGTAAAACCCAAGCTTGCAAGATAGATGGAAGGGTGAACTGCACATGGCTTGAGCACGTTCTCTCAGAGGATCAAGGGCAGGGCCAGGTCAATAAGGGTGGGCTCCCCATTATCTCTTCTTTCCCAGACAGGTTCCAAGTCATTGTCCTTCTCACGCCTCCTCTGGTTGCCCATCACTTTAGCCCTATTCCTAGCAACAGGGATTGCCAGCCACACTCATTTCAGACCAGGGGTCTGCATCTCCTTGTTTTCTGCTTAAGTGCAGGGTATTACTCAGCATAAACCCTAAGCCAATGGCCACACTGGGAAATAGCACAGATGCTGGCAAACACTAGCATGTAAGGCCTGCAGAGTTGCCCAGCTGGTCACTCCGCATTCAACAGGTTGGTGTGGGGAAGAGTTTAATGTACTGAGTACCCACCAGGGCCCAACTCTCTGCTAGGCACTTTCACAAACAGTTCCTAATATAATAATCATATTATTATCCCCATTTTACAGATCAAGAAACTGAGCCTAGGGATGATCAGTGCCTGACTTTAATACAAATGAGCTACTGAAAATGTATGTATAAATCCAATGTTCAAGGGACAAAGGAGAGGAGGCTTTTTCCCAGTTATAAAAACCCAGTGGAATTCCTATTTGTGCGTTACCTTTCAGGATATGGCTCCTGTATTTTGTGCATGATCTTTCCTTTTGTTCTTTTCCTTCACAGATGACCACGGTTGGCTAGCTTATATCAGTAAGTGTCAAATCCAAGCTAAAAATTTACTGATGCATCTGATCCTTGTTCTCTCTCTTGATTCGTAATAGTGTGTTGTTTCTGAGAGCTATGTATCTTAGTGCTAATATCAATGTTATCAGTTTTCTATTTTCCATTTATTTTTATAGATGAAGGAAAAATGAAATAAAATAGCTAACATTCATTAAGCACCTTACTATTTCTGCAATACTCATAAAAAATGTGTAGTGTGTTCACAATCACATATGCTATATAACCAAATGCTCTCCTGAAAAGAGAAATTCTGTTTTGATTAGCCATGGATGAGAACCCAATCCTCCACTTAGAAATTTACATGTCTAATGTTTAAAGGAATTTTCCACAGATGGGGTTCTGCCTTCTTACATTTCAAGCCTTTTTTCTCCCCACCCCCACTTCCTTCTAGCGACAGGTTCTACAGGACCCTTTCATAGGACACCGTGCCATCTCCAGCCCTGCTTGGTTCACGCTGGTGGTGGAGTGTCATGGGGGCTCCTAGGTGTGCTCTGGAAGCCATTCCCACACTGGAGGGGTAAGCAATAGCCTGACCATACACATAACAGAGTGAACCACATAAACAGCCTGCTAGACCCAAAGTAAATGCCTTCTCAGAAGCCAGATCCCCAAAATGCCCATGCCCCTTTCCCTGCCACCTGACATGAGGGAAAGTAGGAGGGAGTTAAAATAAAATGAAATATTGTTAAACTAACTTCCTTATGCAAATTATATATTTGCATATATATGTATATAATGGCAATCCCATTGCTAGGGGCCAAATGGGGGGCCTTAGAAGAAGCCTGTACAAGTGAGCCTGCCTAGCTGAAGCTGAAAACCTTATGGTAATCCAATAAACTGGAGTCACTGGACTCCATATGTCAGTCACTAGCAATGGGCATTGTGGTAGCAGGCATGGTAGGTAGAAGGGATGAGATTGCTAATAGGAGAAGGGAGTGATGACTTAGTGCAGGTCAGCAAACTGGCCACAGACCAAGTCAGGCCCACTGCCTGTTTTTACAAATAAAGTTTTATTGGAACACAGCTACACGGGTTTTGCACTGCAATTGGCAGAGTGAAGTAATTGCAACAGAGACAGTCTAGCCCACAAAGCTGAAAATATGTATGATCTGACCTTTTGTATAAAGAGTTGGAGGAAAAATGTGAAGTTCTTGATGAAGAGGAAAACAAGGTAAGAAAAAGCTAGTGTTAGACACTAACTATTGGAATTTGATTCTGGTTCTATCACTTCATGACTATGTGCCTTTGGGCAAGTTAGTCAATTTTTCCAAGCCTCAATTTCTTCATCTGTAAATGGTGATACTAGTTTTATATCACATATTTGCCATGAGGATTAAGTGAGGCACTGTATGTAAAGTGTTGGCATAGTGTCTGACATAAAGCCAGGTGTCAATATATGTCACAGAGTGTCATTAGCTGATAGCCACGAAGATACTAGGTTGGATAAAAGCATCTTACACTGCACTGTGTCTAAGGAAAGTTCGGCAAGGCCGTTGTTGGGAACTCAAGGCAAAGACCTGTTGGAGAAGTCCCGTGTTTCCCAGCGACATGCCTGCCATACCTTGTCACTGGCTGGGAGCAGCCCAAGGGAAATGGGAGTCATCACCAACATACTGATGGATTTTCGAGTGCAGCAAGTGGCTGATGTCACATTACCCTCCCTGCAGTAGGGGTCTCAGAGGCACATTCTTAGGGCCACCAGACTTAGCAGGGAGAATGAGAACCCCTCAGCTGGCACACATCAATAAAGATCCATCCCTGGGGCAGGGAAGTGCCCTGCCTGCCTGAGGACTTGGCCACTCAGGGAGCACACAGGTGAGGCTTCCTCCCAGCAGAAGGAAGGCAGGAATGGTGATGGGGAAGCAGCAGTGTCTGCCAAGCTCCTCCCAACTCAGCTCCTGCACCAACAGATGGCCACTGAGCACGTCCATCTCTGCCAGACTCGAATCAGACATGGCTGCTTTTTATCAAAAGCCTCCCCTGTCCCTGGGGCCAGCACAATGTGTGCAGCAGAAAGGAGGAAAATCGCCACTCCATTACTGCTGGCCACATCTCAATATTTGTGATGAGCGTGTTCTATCATGAAGTCAACAAAATACCCCAGTGCCAGGTTGTATTCTCTGCAATTACCTGAGCTTGGGGCTGGGCTGCTTTTGTTTTTGAGTTTTGTGGGGATTGGTTGCCCATCACTTTAGCCCTATTCCTAGCAACAGGGATTGCCAGCCACACTCATTTCAGACCAGGGGTCTGCATCTCCTTGTTTTCTGCTTAAGTGCAGGGTATTACTCAGCATAAACCCTAAGCCAATGACCACACTGGGAAATAGCACAGATGCTGGCAAACACTAGCATGTAAGGCCTGCAGAGTTGCCCAGCTGGTCACTCCGCATTCAACAGGTTGGTGTGGGGAAGAGTTTAATGTACTGAGTACCCACCAGGGCCCAACTCTCTGCTAGGCACTTTCACAAACAGTTCCTAATATAATAATCATATTATTATCCCCATTTTACAGATCAAGAAACTGAGCCTAGGGATGATCAGTGCCTGACTTTAATACAAATGAGCTACTGAAAATGTATGTATAAATCCAATGTTCAAGGGACAAAGGAGAGGAGGCTTTTTCCCAGTTATAAAAACCCAGTGGAATTCCTATTTGTGCGTTACCTTTCAGGATATGGCTCCTGTATTTTGTGCATGATCTTTCCTTTTGTTCTTTTCCTTCACAGATGACCACGGTTGGCTAGCTTATATCAGTAAGTGTCAAATCCAAGCTAAAAATTTACTGATGCATCTGATCCTTGTTCTCTCTCTTGATTCGTAATAGTGTGTTGTTTCTGAGAGCTATGTATCTTAGTGCTAATATCAATGTTATCAGTTTTCTATTTTCCATTTATTTTTATAGATGAAGGAAAAATGAAATAAAATAGCTAACATTCATTAAGCACCTTACTATTTCTGCAATACTCATAAAAAATGTGTAGTGTGTTCACAATCACATATGCTATATAACCAAATGCTCTCCTGAAAAGAGAAATTCTGTTTTGATTAGCCATGGATGAGAACCCAATCCTCCACTTAGAAATTTACATGTCTAATGTTTAAAGGAATTTTCCACAGATGGGGTTCTGCCTTCTTACATTTCAAGCCTTTTTTCTCCCCACCCCCACTTCCTTCTAGCGACAGGTTCTACAGGACCCTTTCATAGGACACCGTGCCATCTCCAGCCCTGCTTGGTTCACGCTGGTGGTGGAGTGTCATGGGGGCTCCTAGGTGTGCTCTGGAAGCCATTCCCACACTGGAGGGGTAAGCAATAGCCTGACCATACACATAACAGAGTGAACCACATAAACAGCCTGCTAGACCCAAAGTAAATGCCTTCTCAGAAGCCAGATCCCCAAAATGCCCATGCCCCTTTCCCTGCCACCTGACATGAGGGAAAGTAGGAGGGAGTTAAAATAAAATGAAATATTGTTAAACTAACTTCCTTATGCAAATTATATATTTGCATATATATGTATATAATGGCAATCCCATTGCTAGGGGCCAAATGGGGGGCCTTAGAAGAAGCCTGTACAAGTGAGCCTGCCTAGCTGAAGCTGAAAACCTTATGGTAATCCAATAAACTGGAGTCACTGGACTCCATATGTCAGTCACTAGCAATGGGCATTGTGGTAGCAGGCATGGTAGGTAGAAGGGATGAGATTGCTAATAGGAGAAGGGAGTGATGACTTAGTGCAGGTCAGCAAACTGGCCACAGACCAAGTCAGGCCCACTGCCTGTTTTTACAAATAAAGTTTTATTGGAACACAGCTACACGGGTTTTGCACTGCAATTGGCAGAGTGAAGTAATTGCAACAGAGACAGTCTAGCCCACAAAGCTGAAAATATGTATGATCTGACCTTTTGTATAAAGAGTTGGAGGAAAAATGTGAAGTTCTTGATGAAGAGGAAAACAAGGTAAGAAAAAGCTAGTGTTAGACACTAACTATTGGAATTTGATTCTGGTTCTATCACTTCATGACTATGTGCCTTTGGGCAAGTTAGTCAATTTTTCCAAGCCTCAATTTCTTCATCTGTAAATGGTGATACTAGTTTTATATCACATATTTGCCATGAGGATTAAGTGAGGCACTGTATGTAAAGTGTTGGCATAGTGTCTGACATAAAGCCAGGTGTCAATATATGTCACAGAGTGTCATTAGCTGATAGCCACGAAGATACTAGGTTGGATAAAAGCATCTTACACTGCACTGTGTCTAAGGAAAGTTCGGCAAGGCCGTTGTTGGGAACTCAAGGCAAAGACCTGTTGGAGAAGTCCCGTGTTTCCCAGCGACATGCCTGCCATACCTTGTCACTGGCTGGGAGCAGCCCAAGGGAAATGGGAGTCATCACCAACATACTGATGGATTTTCGAGTGCAGCAAGTGGCTGATGTCACATTACCCTCCCTGCAGTAGGGGTCTCAGAGGCACATTCTTAGGGCCACCAGACTTAGCAGGGAGAATGAGAACCCCTCAGCTGGCACACATCAATAAAGATCCATCCCTGGGGCAGGGAAGTGCCCTGCCTGCCTGAGGACTTGGCCACTCAGGGAGCACACAGGTGAGGCTTCCTCCCAGCAGAAGGAAGGCAGGAATGGTGATGGGGAAGCAGCAGTGTCTGCCAAGCTCCTCCCAACTCAGCTCCTGCACCAACAGATGGCCACTGAGCACGTCCATCTCTGCCAGACTCGAATCAGACATGGCTGCTTTTTATCAAAAGCCTCCCCTGTCCCTGGGGCCAGCACAATGTGTGCAGCAGAAAGGAGGAAAATCGCCACTCCATTACTGCTGGCCACATCTCAATATTTGTGATGAGCGTGTTCTATCATGAAGTCAACAAAATACCCCAGTGCCAGGTTGTATTCTCTGCAATTACCTGAGCTTGGGGCTGGGCTGCTTTTGTTTTTGAGTTTTGTGGGGATGCGAGCCTTGGTGTTTTGTGTCTATTCTAATTTGGCTAATTACATGTTGCTTATTGAATATCTCACCCCACTGTTTCAATTAGATAAAGCGTTCTTCATGTTCTGCTTGGCCAATCAGGTTGCAAAGCACTTGGGGTCCACCTCTTTGGAGGGGAGGTGGGTAACACTGATTATGCATGAAGTATGGCAGGTTGCATAAATCGTTTGAGTAACATGGCCCTTACTCTTGCCAATGATTTGGAAACCAAGGGAATATTTTATGTGACATGAGCCTGGATTATTGCAGTTGTCTCCAAACTAGCCTCCCTCTTCATTCTCACCTCCTTCTCTATTTTCTAATCTCAGCCTAACACCCAGAGTGATCCTGTTAAGATAAGATTCAGTTCGTGCCACTTCCATGCTCAAATCATTCCAATAGCTAACCAATGACTTCTAGTAAAAGCCGAAGTTCTTGTACCGATCTACCATACCCTAAGGTTCTGCAAACTAGGGTCCTCCGGCCAAATCCTGCTGCCTGCTGCCTGTTTTTGTAAATAAAGTTTTAAAACACAGCCATACCATTCATTTACATAGTGCCTATGGCTGCTTTCTTAGAGCCAAGCATTTGCAGCAGAGAGCGTGTACACTGCAAAGGCTAAAATCTCCTGGCCCCTTACAGGAAAAGCTTTGCCACCTGGTGCCCTGTGACACCCGCCTCACCTCCGCTCCCCACCATCACCTCCCAGACCCCATCTCCCCCAGGCTCCCCGCTCACTTTGCTCCATCCGCTCTCGGCTCTTGGCTGGTCCTCTCACTCAGCACACCTCCTTGCACCATGGCTGTGGCACTGGCTGGACCCTCTGGTGGAATATCCTTCTCCATATCCTCATGATTTGCTCCCTAACTTCCCTCAAGTCTTCATTTGACACCATCTCACCTGAGACTTCCCTGGACACCCTATTTAAATTGTAATCCTCCCACTACTGACAGCTTTGTTCTCCTTCCATGCTTTATTTTTCTCCGCAGAACTTTTCCACTAACGTAGTACATATTTTGCTGCTTATCTTGTTTGTACCCTCAAAGTTAAAGTAAACTTCTTGAAGGCAGATCCTTTTTTGCTCTGCTATCTCCCCAGGGCCTAGTATAGTGCCTTGCACATAGTAGGTAAATATCTACTCAGTAAATATCTGTTAGATGGTTAAGTATAACATCAAAGACTCAGAACTCTGCTGTGCAACAGAGAATCCAAAGAATAATGCTTATTCAGGCAAGTAGGGTGGCTTCCCATTGCCGTCAGGGGCCTTAGGCCCCTCCAGCTTTCCTCTGTGCCATCTTTGGTGGGTAGAATTTGTTTCCTCATGTGTCCTCATGAGCCAGGATGCTCACTGCCCCTCTGGCCTCCCTTTCATGTTCAGGCTGCTAAAAGAAGGAGGTGACTGGGAGGAGGAAGGCTACCTACATCAGTAAAGCAAATCTTTCCCAGAAATGCCTAGAACACTTCTGCTTGTATCTCTTAGGCGAGAACTGAGTCCCACAGCCACCCCCTAGCTGCAGAAGAGCTTAAGAAATGGTCTTGAATCAGCACACATTACTATCCTAAAGAAAGTCAAGGTCCTAAAAGTAAGAAGAAAGGAGAAATGAACATTGGAGAGGTGACTTACAGCACCTGCCACATCTGGACTTTGTTTTTTCAGCGGGGAGAAGTACACAGGGTGGAAGTTGGGAGAATTTAGACAAGTGCAAAGGACAGACATGCTGGTTTTTGTCAGAGGTCATTTTAAATTTTCCCTGTGGTATAGTCTCACAGCGCCCTGAACTTCCCTGTCATCCCACTTATCATAAGGTTTTATGTCATGCTCACCACTGATTCTCAGTCCTCAGCAGTATGTGCAGCACATGGTAAATGCTCATGAACAATTTCTGTGTGAATTAATAAGTGAATTCTGGGGACTGTGTGCACACATGCATAGGTATGTATATATATGGGTGTCTAAACTCCTATACTCCATTTATTAGATGCTTCCTAAATGACATCACATATATTCAGGTCTGCCAACAATCTTGGGAAACCAATAGTAGTAGCATCTCCATTTTATTGAGGATCACAGAAATCTCTGTTTCCAGGCTCTGTAACCATAGGAACTTGTCAGCAGCACACAGCTAATAAGTGATAGAGGCAAGATTTGAACCCTAGGTAGCTGATTCTAAAACTGTGTGCCCTAATCACATTCATTCATTTAGTCATTCAACAAATACATACTTACTGTTTACTGTGTGCCAGGCACTGTTGGCAATAATGTTTCCAGTGTTGAGAAGATATTGCTCAAATCAAAGGACTTCAATTTTGGCACATGAAGAGTAGTACAAGGAAATTAAAATACACATGCCCTACCTCTTTTTATCTGTTGTTTCTTCTGGAAGTTTCTTGGTAAAGAAACCATCCATGTGCCTTCAGTGTCATTTGGCTGATTTTAAATTTCTCACTAGTTTCATTCATATGCATATTATTTGTTTTGTGAGGTTATACATTACTTGAGATTAGGGAGTATGTCTTACTCATTTTTGAGTTTCAATCTTAAGCTTGCCTGCAGTCAGGACAATGATGAACACTGGGCTCAATAGAATCCTGTTGGATGAAAGAGAGTTGCTATTAGGCAGTTTATGGCTGCAAGCAACAGAAATCTGCCCTGAGTGATTTGTGCAGGAAAGGGAGTTATTGGAAGGATATTGGAAGGCTATACCTCACAGAACCAGTTTCGTAACATAGGCAGGAATGAAGAGAGGTTAGATAGAAAAAAAGCAGCCAGAGTCATGTCTGGTTAAGCTGCTGCCACTGGCACTGCCACTGCTGGACACTCACCCTACCATTGCTAGACACTGAGTGCTGATGTCCCCGGCTAGATTATTGTATCAGCTAGGGTATGCTGCAGTGACAAACAGCCCCAACATCTCAATGGCTTAAAAGATGAAGGTTCATTTCTCATTCCCATTATATTTCTACAATGATGGTCCGGGTGACACTGCTCATTGAGGTTCCAGGCCAGTGGAGGCCTTACGCTTCCACAATCCCAGAATCTGGAAAAGGGAAGAGCATGAGAACAGTTGCCGCCAGCTAACCAATTTAACCAGCTCTTAATGCTGCTCTCTGATGTAAAGCGCACTACCTCCCCTCCCGTTTCTCTGACCAAAGCAAGGCATATGACCATGCCTAATTTCTTAGGGGGTGTGGAAATACAGTTCTACTAGTGCCATGATAAGAAGTTTTATACTTATGATCAGCTTTGATGACTCTACAAACTCCAGTGCCACTTCCACCATGAATGCTTGCTCACTAGCTCTGTATCGTGTGTGACTCACTTAAAATTTAAAATCCTGGTGGAAGCATCCCACCAGCCAAGGTTAGGTCATGTCCAGGGCTCCATCAGGGAGGCACATAAGGGAGGTCACATGCTCATCAGTCAGAAAGTCACAAATGTAACAGTATTCTTCCCCATGTTTTTCTGTTGGAATCTGTACTTCTGATCAATTAAAGCTGCCTCTCCCAAAGTGATGCATTCTACAGAGGACTTTCACATTTGGACTAAACTCTGAGCTCTTCAAGAAGACAGTGCTAGGCATTCAAAACATATTTGTTTTTTGGGAAAAAAATAACTTAATAAAGGAATTGTGCCTTATTTATTCCTATTCCCTAGAACATAACATTGAAGACATATTAGTTCTACATGTTTCCTGAAGTGTTTTTCTAAATTAAAAGCTATCATTTGAAAAAAAGTTAGGAGGCCAAATAAGTACGGAAAATGCTGGGCTCATTCAGTCATTCCTTGTGATAGGCAGACTCTAAGCAGCTCAATGATCTCGTCTCCCAGTAATCACATCCTGTGCCTTGGATTTATTGACCAGCATCTAACAGTTAGAATATAACAGAAGTGATAGGATGTCAATTTTGATATTAAGTTATAAAAAGACTGCAGCTTTCATCTTGGATACCCTTTCTTGTCCATTCGCTCAGATGGAAGCCAGCTGTCATTTTGTGAGCTGCCATGTGACAGGGAACTGAAGCGTCCAGCCAATAGCCAGGGAAGACTGGAGGCCCACCAAGAGCCATGCAAGTGACCTGGAAAGTTGGGTCCTCCCCCAGTGAAGCTTGGGATGACTGCAGCCTAGGGGACTCTGAGCTGAGGACCCACCTTAGCTGTGCCTGATTCCCCACCCACAGAAACTGAGATAATAATAAATATTTGTTGTTTTAAACCACTAAACTTTTGGTAGTTCTTTATCAATAATAGATAACTAGGACATTCTTTCATTTATTCAATAAATATCTAATAGCACTATATGAAGCTCTTGGGACACATTAGCGAGCAAAACAGACCTGAATTCTGCCCTTATGGAGTTTAAATTAATTTAAACATGTTTCTATGCTGCAGGGACATAGCCTTTAATATGCAAGTGTTCATAATGAATCTCTAAGAGAGGGAGAATGGTTCTCTAACTTTTAAACTTTTTTTTTTTTGGTCTGCGTTTCATAGGGCTAATGTTTTATGGAACACACATTGGAAAATTCTCTATTAGCTAAATGAGCAAATGAATTAAAGTTGTAATTTTAAAGCTTAAGTTCCCCTGCAAAAATTTCAGAGTATGCTCCCTATTGTTCATTATAGGCTTAATAGCTATTCTTCTTTCCTGGACCCCATACACACTTTCACTAATTTACTTAGCAAACATTGACTGATTATCTACTATGTTGTAAGGCACTGCGAGTGCCAAACTGTTGCATGAGCCATGGGGCTGCTGTTTTTCTCCCAAAGCATATTTGGAAATTCACTAATTGTTTCATTTTGTGAGTAATGGCTTCAGCCACAATATTTGGGCAAAAAGCAAAGGGGAGAAAGAATGGGATTAGCTCATGTTAAAATCAAAGCATGCTGAAAACAGTAATGTGTACTGAAGCAAGGCAATGGCCTCAAGGAGAGGAGACATAATCGGTATTGAAAGTGCCTGAAACACTTCATCGGACTGTGTTTAAATTGTTTGAAAAAACTCTTGGAACAAATAAAGCCCTGAAAAGGTCTTTCAAATTGACATGAATTCTTGGCATGCTTTTCCCTCAACTACTGCTGCTCCCCCTACAATAGCCTGCTGCAGAGAATCCCGGGGACACAGGCTTTTGTCTTAATTGTCTAACATGTATCAAGTATTTCATATTTTGGATGGAAAGCAGGAGGGAAAAGGGGTACCTCATTTGTGAGACAGATTGAAATAGCAATTCTGTTTTGTCTTTGGTGCACTGCTCCTCAGGAACTCAGGTGCCATTTCCAGACTAATGAAGTAGTAAATGTCCTGGGACCACCATTCAGCAATGATGTCCCTTTTCTATCTCTGGGAGGTATTTGGGATCTGGTTTAGAAATTAGGCAGTGCTGGTGTTGGCAAAGGTGAAAAGAAATAAGATGGGCTGAAGATTTAAGGATAAAATGTGAAGATGTAAGATAACATATTGCATAACCTTTATCCTGTTAAAAGCAGGGCAGACCTTCCTAACTTACAAACCTTAAATGGGAGTATTGATAGATTTAACAATGAGAAAATAAAAATCTTATGCTAGATAAATAAATTAATGAATAAATAAATAAATTTAAAGGGGAAAATGGCAAGCCACAGATAATATGACAGAGAAGAAGTTGGTATTTTTATTCTATTAGGAGTTCTGAAAAATCATTAAGAAAAAGATATACATCTTAGGATCCCTTGGACTCCAAAAAGAAAGAAATGATATAAACAGGGAATTTTTACAAATAGAAATAAAAGACAAACACTGAAAAATATTCAACTTCAGGAATTATCAAATAATGTTAGGCATTATATTTAAAGGTAATAACATAATGTAGATAATGGCATAGTCTCTGGATTCAGGCTGCCTAGGTGGCTGCTCGCTACTTGTTTGACCTTGGGAGCTGCTGAAATGCTTTGCCTCAGTTTCCTCACCTATAAAATTAAGGTTATAGGGTTGTTATAAAGGGTGGGCAAGTTGATATACGTCATCCACTCGGAATAGTGCCTTGCACGTCAGGAATGGTATATAAATGTTAGTTGTTATTATTTCTTTCATTAATTTAAGAAAGACAAAACTGATCATAGCAGTGGTGTCAAAGGAGTGGAGACAGGCACTCTTGCCCACTACTGGAGGCATAAAGTGGTACAATCTTCTTAGAGGGCAATTTAGCATCTAGCATCAGGCTCTTAGAATGCTGAATCTCCTTGGACCAAGTTCCAGTGTAGGAATTCTTCTCAAGGAAATACAAAGTCAAATATATAAAGAAAGAGTTATAAAGATTTTTTTTAAGGTATCATTGACCTAAAGATTTTTTTCAGAGCTGTGTACAATTATGCAATACTGGAAAGAACCTAGATGTCCAACAATAATAGTTTTGTTGAGCAAATTATGGGACATCCATACAGTACAATTCTATATAGTTATCAAATGTTATAAGGAAAAAACCATTCTACAGGGCATTTTAGGGAAGCTTGAAATATGAGTTGTATTTTAGGAAATGTCATTATATCAGTGCTGTTTCTTGGGTGTGATAATGGTCTTATAGATCCTCCTAGGACAATGTAAGGTACACGCTGAAGTCTTATGATCTTTGCAGCTTATTTTCAAATGGTTCAGGAGAAAGAGAACATATATCATATACACACAGACACAACCCTCCCTCACAGAGGGAGAGGGTGAGGGACACAGAGCAAATGTTAGCAATCGTGAATCTGAGTGAAAGGTGGATGGAGTTTTTATTTTAATCTATCAACTTTTGTGTTTGAAATTTTTCCAAGTAAAAAGTTAGAAAAAAATGTGAAAAGAACAAAGACAGGAAAAAAATTGATATTAATAAAAAAATAGTTTACACATCAGCATATACAATATGATCTCTCTTTCTTGCGCTCTTTTTTTTTTAAGAGAGTTCGATTAGATAACAGCAGCTGGGACTTATTGGGGCCTTTCTATGTGCCAGACACTATGCTAAGTATTTACATGCATTGTCTCATGTAGTTAAAACTTTATGAGATTATGAGATGTAATGATTTTCCCCACACAAGAAACTGAAAGATGGAAACTCAGAGGTTAAAAATTTATCTAAAAACCACCCAGCCAACCATTGGTCCTTAAGCATGGGTCTTTATGACTTCAAGTCCGTACGTTTAACTACTAGTCGATTGCACAGGGCAAGGAGGGGTAGGCTGCTGTAGCTGCTCACAGTGATATTGATTATAGCTAATAATTATCGGTAAGGGCTTGACTTGCCAATGGGTTTCAGCCCTGGGCAAGTTCACTCTTGATTCGGTGAGACTGAAAAATGATAGTGGAACATTCTTGGGGTGAAAGGGTTTATACCCAACTTTATTCCCACAGTGGCAGGTCAATCACTAGAATCCCGTCCACTCAGAGCAAGTGTGCACACAGCACGCCGGTCTCTGCCTCTGGGCCTCTCTGCCCCTGCAGCTATCTCAGTCTCTGTGCTCGGCGCTGCCACCTCTCCAGTCTCTGCTCTCCTGCAGCTGTGCAGCCCAGAGCACTGGGTGGAGCTCTTTATATAGAGTCAGTAATAACATATTGCCCACATGTGTTTAGTGAGCAAGCGGATCAGGGTCAAATGAGAATCCTGGCCATAGGAACTTCCATTTTCCCCACACGGCTATAATAGAGATACATGTTCAATGCTTTGAAGGAGCAGAGCAAAGGGAGAGGCTAGTTCTGTAAGGCAGGGCAGGAGGAGTATAGTAGTTCTTACTAAAATGGTAATAATTGAGATGGGCTTTGAAGGATGCATAGGAGTCCAATGCTTTTTTTAAAAAATTCAGTACAGAGGGAAAAGCATGAGTGAAGACACACAGTGTATTGAAGAAACTATAGTGTGTAGAGAGTGTGTTAGTAGGTAATCAGGGCAGATGGCAGGGAATGAGATTGGCCAGAAACCAGCCCAATTCCTTTAGAATTTCTTCCATTTTTAGAAAAATGACCCAGGCAGCAAAGTAGAAGTGAATCTGGTTAGGAAAATGAGACTGGCACTGGGGATACCAAGTGAGGGGCTCTTGGGAACAGTTCCAACAGGAGGCAATGAATGTGTTCACCAGGGTAAGGACAGTGGGAACAAGAACGAGACAGATTCAAACCTTCCTCCTCTGAAAGTTTTAGCATTACTTTGGGAGACTCCTTAAGAGATACATGTCTTGAAATATCTTCTTATCTCTCCGAACTGGCCCTCTGCTTGTTTGTGCTCGTATCCACACATGCCCTTCTCCTGATCTGCTTTGTCTCTTTTGTATCGCAGGAACCACCTTTCCCAGACACCCTTGCCCTCCAGCTCTTTTTTGGGTTTGGCCAGTGGGTGGTGCTGGCATCAGAGGGTGAGGCAGGAGGAGGGAAGAGCCCCACGTTCTTCGGTTTTTCTCTTGTCTGCTTCAGGTTGTGCTCCTGGTAGCAACTGTGTGTCATGCATGAGCCCAGACCCTGGCAGGTAGCCCCTCCCCACATGGAGCTAGCTCTCCTGCTTAGACCCCATTGTGGTTCTAGATCCTGTCAGATGGCTCAGCTTCTGGCCTCCAGTAACACCATCCACTCCTTGTCCTTCCAGCCCTGTGGGGGCAACGCCTTCTTGCTGATGCTACCTTTCCAGATGTGTCCTTCTGGTCCCGATTAGCTCCTCAGCTCTCCCATCCCCTCCTTACCTAATTCTTTGCATTAAATGCCTCAGATGGAGACACCTAGAGTGGCTTCTGTTTCCTGGCTGGACCTCTTCCCGAAACCTAGAGTAGAAGTTACTAAAGGACAGGGACTGAACCTCACCAGTTTCAGAATTCCACAAGAAGGGCTCTAGCAAATACTTAAGAAATATTTGATTGATTCCTGGCCTTGGATCCCAACACAGATCCTCAAAGATTCCCTTGTGTGGGACCTGAAAGGAGAAGACATGGAAGGAAGGGAAAGGAGCTCTAATTCCTTCTTCCTGGTGCTTTGCTTGGGTTATGGTGTAGTTTCCACTCATTCATTCATTCAATCAACAACCATGTACTGAGTGCCTAGTAGGTGCCAGATACTCTTCTAGGTGCTGGGACATACTAGTGATCCTTTCCTTGTGGAGCTTACATCTTAGTAGAGAATTTGGTACAGCAATAAGCCACTGGGCAGGAGGGGTCTGCCTATTTTTCCTAGAGTCACTGCCTAGAGACGCCTCATTAGATACTCTGCTTAAAAGATGGAGACTTTCAGGTGGAAAATAACAACAGTGGTATTATATTGGGGGCAGATTCTGTGCTAAGACACCTATCTATCCAACAAGCATTTCTGAAGTACCCAGAGCACTACATGCTAGGCAATGGGGTGTTAAGCAGGGAGCGAGATGAATAGGTCCACACCCTCATGCTGTTTAGTTGAGGGGTCATACAGTCTGGTTGGGGTGACAGACGTTAAGCAAATAATATATGACTATATAATTTAAAACTGGGGAAAATCAGGGATTAAAGATGGTGGTGTGAGAGGAGAGACAGAGGCTTCCTCCTAAAACTGGATACAATTAGAAAATATAGTTGGCGCAACTAATCCTGAGAGAGCAACTGGAAAGAGGATGTGTCAGACTGCACACACCTGGAGAAAAGAGCAGACCTCAGCGAATGGGGTAAAGTACCAGAGCTGTGGCTCCGCAGGACCCGAGCCCCTTCCCCACCCCAGCTCACCGGCGGGAGGAAGAGAAACGGAGCAGGGAGAGAGTGGAAGGCTTGGGACTGCTGAATACCTAGCCCCGGAGATCTGCGCTGGGAGCACAAACCTACATTTCATGGTGCTTTCATCATAGTCTTCTGATTACAGGGTTGGAAAGCTGGGACAGGCGGAGTTCTTGGGGAGACTGGGATTCTGGCCACTTGAGGAAAGCAGGGATCCATATCCGGCTGCTCTGGGACAAAAGCTTATACCTGTGTGCTCCACCTACTGGCTCAGGCAGTGGAGATGGGCACAGCCCCTGGGAGGCGGGGAACAGCTCTTTCCTACCCCCAGGCACCAATACTGCTCCCCTGCGACCCCCGACATTTCTTCAGGGGCTGAGCAGCTCCAGAAAAGAGCTTCTGGACACTAGAGGGCGCCAAATACAAATATGTAACGCCAAAGAAACTTGATCCCGAGGAAAATTGTTAATACAACTCCCAAGAAAGATGTAAATGATATGAATTTCATGACTCTTCCTGAAAGGGAGTTCAAAATAAAAATCATCAACATGCTAATGGAGGTACGGAAAGACATCCAAGAACTTAGGAATGAATTCAGGTCAGAGATCCAATCGTTGAAGAGCACGATGGAGGATATTAAAAGCAGGTTGGATACAGTGAAGGAGACAATAAGTGAAATAGAAACTAGAGAAGAGGAATACAAAGAAGCTGAGGAACAGAGAGAAAAAAGGATCTCTAAAAATGAAAGAATATTGAGAGAACTGTGTGACCAATCCTAACGGAACAATATTCGTATTATAGGGATACCAGAAGAAGAAAGAGAGAAAGAGAGAGAAAGTGTCTTTGAGGAGGCAGTTGCTGAAAACTTCCCCAATCTGGGGAAGGAGATAGTTGCTCAGGCCATGGAGATCCACAGATCTCCCAACACAAGGGACCCAAGGAAGACAACACCAAGACATATAGTAATTTAAATGGAAAAGATCAAGGATAAGGACAGATTGTTAAAAGCAGCCAGAGGCAGAAATAAGATCACATACAAAGGAAAGCCCATCAGGCTAACATCAGACTTCTCAGCAGAAACATTACAGTCCAGAAGGGAGAGGCATGATGTATTTAATGCCATGAAGCAGAAGAGCCTGGAACCAAGATTACTTTATCCAGCAAGATTATCATTTAAATTTGAAGGAGGGATTAAGCAATTTCTAGATAAGCAAAAGCTGAGAGAATTTACCTCCCACAAACTATCTCTACAGTCTATTTTGGAGGGACTGCTATAGATGGAAGTGTTCCTAAGGTAGAATAACTGTCACCAAAGGTAATAAAACCACAGTAAAGAAAGTAGAACAGCTAATCACTAAGCAAATGCAAAATTAAATTAACTATCTCCAAAGTCAATCAAGGGATAGACAAAAAGTACAGAATATGATACTAATATATAAAGAATGGAGGAGGAAGAAAAAGAAACAGAAGAGAACCTTTAGATTGTGTTTGTAACAGCATACTAAGTGAGTCAAGTTAGACTCTTAGATAGTAAGGAAATTAACTTTGAACATGCTATTTCTGTTTTTTGGGGGCGATATTTTCCATACTGGCTTAATTCCTGCTCATGGATATAGTCTGATGATCCATGTCGCTCCTTCCAGACAGCCATCTCTGACTCACCCTCTCTGGGTTCAGATCCTTTCCTCAGAACTCCATGGCACACAGATGATATCTCCTGCCATTGTAGCCCTGTGGTCCTTGTTAAGGGGGTGGGACTTAGAATTGGGAATGTCTGGGTTAAAATTCTCTTTCCACACTTTGTGGTTCTTTGGATTTGGGTAAATTACTCAATATCTTTGTGCCTCAGCTTCCTCATTGATAAAGTGGGGGTAGTGTGAGGTAGGTACATGTAAGGTGCTTGAAACAGTGCCTGACACAAAGCACATTCTCAGTAAAGTGTTAGAGTTTATAATGAACTGCAGATACTGCGTACCAGGTGTATACAAATAGCATTTATGCACATACATGCAGTTTTCTAAACTTTACCAGTTTGTTAAGTGATACTGTTAAGACCCAAGACATGAAGAATCACTGCTATGAGGGCAGTGCTCACATTGGAAACTTCTCTAAGAAACCCTTACGTTGGCAGGTGCAATTATACCCCTTGCTTACAGTTCTCTTTTAAAGCCCTTTCAGTTGTGTGACCTATCTGCCCTGCAAATGAGCAAGCTATTATGTCGACTCTATGATTCTTTCTTTCAGGAGAAAATTCATAAGAAGTAGGCACATACATCCCTTTCTGATGTGGAGCAGATTGAAATTGGAGTGGACTCATTTATAGTCTCCCTAGTAATAGAGTCTTCTGCTCACAAAGATGCTCGCAGAGCAAAGGGATCTCTGTTGAGCTTTACACATGCTAATTATGCATTTAGGAAATAGCTGATATTTGCAAGGAGCTTGCTCAGAAATGGCACAGTGAAACACACACAATCTGTTAATTCATGTGTGTAATCCTTGAACTTCCCGTCTCCTGAAACTCATTGTATTTGCAGCTCTTATGACTGTCTTTGGAGGAAAAGTTCAACAAGAGCAGGACCCAGATGGGAAGCTGAGTCCCCATAGTCCCCCGAGTCAGCACTGTGACTGACCTGTAATAAAAGTAACCAACACGAGGGAGCATTTACATTGCTGCCAGACACTGTTCTAATGATCCCATTTAATCCTCACAGGCAACCTACTGAGGCATGCGGTATTATTATCCTCAATTAAAGATGAAGAATGGAGGCAGAGTGAAGCACAGAGAGGTTGAGGAACTTGCTCAAGGTTATATAATTCAGAAGTAGTGGAGCCAGGCTTCAAACCCAAGTGGCCTTGCTGCTCACGCACAGTAGGTGTGTAGAAAGCATGTGATGAAGTATCCAACACGTGTGAGTCCAGCTTAGTGGGGCTTGTTCACGTTGTGGCTGTTGGGTTAGTTGCTATACTTGCCGTTTAATTTCTAGAATGCTGAAGGACAAAAGATTATTTTATTACTTTGATTGACAGGTGAGCTTCAGAATAATGGGCAGAAAATAATTTAATTTCCTTTTGAAAATAGTTTTCTGGCTCTGGTAAAAATGTCACCTGTTTATTGTAAAAAGTTCAGAAGTACAAAGAAGAAAGTTAAAAATCACCATAGAACAAAAAAGCAAAAGAAGACATTAAGGACGGAACTAGAATCAACAAAACTTTAAAAAAATCACACACCAGAAATCCAACAAACTAGTTATAGCTATTATTTCTATTCTTTCAGGCAAGTTTATATACTTAGATACACTAAGCACTTTACAATAAATGGGACCATGTTATATGTGCAATTTTACATCTTATTTTGAAAAGTTTCTTTACTCACCAACCTGTTGTGGAAATAAAGATCAGCATGATTATTCTTTGCAACTGCTTCATATTCTTGTGTATGAATTACTATAATTCATCAGGCCAAACTGAAAGGTTGTTTCTCAGAGTCCTAATGTTAAAACAGCATTACCAGGAGCATCCTGTATGCTTTTAAAAAATTCACAAGGATCACCTTGGATATCAGACAATATGATTTCTGGGAAATCACAAGGAATGCACATTAACATTTTGATACATATTGGCAAACTGCCCTCCCAGAAGATTGTCCCAATTTATGTCCCATCATGACCCACATTCATCGTGATTGACCTTGTAAATCTTTGCTAATCTGGTAGGCAAAATAATCTCAATAAATGAATTTTTATTTATTTTTTAATTTGTAGTATATATTTGTGGTTTATGAGCATTTCATAGAGAATAACATATAGAAGACTTTTAGTTTTGAAGAAGAGAGTTATTTATGTCCAATGAGTTTCATCCCAACATTACTTATATCAGTTAGAAAACAGAAACAACCAAATTGGGAATCAATATACTAATTAAAGTATAAACATATGTTGGAAAACTTCATAGCCACAAAAAAAGAATATTTTGGATGAATATTTAATAGCATGGGGAAATGATTATCCATAAAGTTTGAGGAAATTTCTTGAGGAAAAAATCAAAATGCGAAATTATTTATAGAATAATACCAATTATTAAATTATTTATGTTTAGAAGAAAAAATTAGAAAACCTAGAAGGAAATACAAGAAGTTATTAATGCTAATAATATCTTTGAGGTGGAATTTTTGATTAAATTTTCTTCATACAATTTTTGCAGACAGTGAATTTTGTAATAGTATGGGGCTAATATTTAACATTTGGTTGATGTGTTTATTATTATTAGTGCTTTGAGGTCATTTACCCTCAGACACAACATTATCATTAACGATTTATTTTAGTAAACTAAATGGACATATGCTTTGGCTTATTCTTAATACTAAGGAACATGCTCATTAGTACTGACACTATGTTAGGGGGCAGGATCCCAGCTTTCAAGGAGTGTACAGCATAGAACACATACATTTATAACAAGAGGGAAGAATGTGTCTACTCAGTTATGGGAAAACCTCCTAGAGAAGGTAACATTTCAACCTAGCCTTAAAGGATAAATTGTATTTTATATGTAAGATTTGTCTTTTTTTCCCCTGACTCTATAGAATAAATAAGTGTATATTGTAAAAAATAAGAATATATAGAAGATAACAGACATTTATAGGGTTATTACCATGTGTGGGACACTGTGTTAAATCCAGATTATGAAAAAATCTCTTTTAACTCCCCAGCAACCCTTAAAGGTGGACCTGATTATTTTGTGCATTTCAAAGGCGAGGAAAGGGAATATAAAAAAGATTGAATGAGTGAACACTGTGACATGATTGGAAAATTGGCAGACGCAGTATGGAATCCAAGGCGACCTTGTGCCACAGAAGAAAATAAATCAGTGTTAAGCCCATCGCTTTCAGTCTCTTTTTTCCCTATGCACAAGGCTTCTCCAGGTTCTCTTGCTGCCTGCACTCTGCTGAGTGGTCGTTACTCAGGCATTATCAGCACACAGGTGGTAACTGAAGGCATGTAGGTGGACGGGACCACTGAAAACATGGGAAGAGAAAAGGTTCTGGAACAAAGCCTGAGCAACTGAGGTAGAGACGCCCTGGGCTGGGTGTAGAGGAGGCAGCATTTAGTCCTATACACCTGGAACCTCTAGTCCAATGTGCAATCCAGACACTGATCAAAATGTCACAGCTGTGGTACTCTTGGAGCTGAATCTTAGAGGTGAGAAGTTTGCCAGGTGGAGAAGAGGAAGATAATGTTCTGAGCAAACAGAACACCATCTGTAAAAGTTTATCAGATGCAAGGATGACATGGTAACTTGGAAAACCAAGTGATTTCAGTATGGCTAAAGCACAGGGTTTGTGTGTGTGTGTGTGTGTGTGTGTGTGTGTGTGTGTGTGTGCGCGCGCGCACGCGCACATGTGTATCTGTGTGCATCTCTATGTAGGTGTGTGAGTGTATCTGTGGTTCTCTGTGTCTATGTGAGTGTGGATATATATTCAGGAGGCTAGAGTAGTGACAGAGAATCCAGACAGGATGGTAGGGCTCAGCTCATTAAAGACTATGTGTCCCTGTATTAGTTGGTTTTCCAGAGAATCAAATATATGTATATACATCTTATTCTGATTTTCTGGAAAAACAGAGAAAAAATATAGGAGATTTATTATGAGGAATTGACTTACCTGATTATAGAGCCTGAGAAGTCCTGTGATCCCATGTTTGCAAGCTAGAGTCCCAGGAAAGCCAGCAGTATAATTCAGTCCAAATCCAAAGATGTGAGGGGAGCCAGTGGTGTAAATCCCAGCCCAGGGCTGGAGAAGAGGAGATGACATATCCTAGCTCATTCAGTGAGGTGGGAAAAAAGAGGTAAATTCCTTCTTCATTCACCTTTTGTTGTATTCAGATTGGATGATGCTCAGCCACACTGCAGAGGGTGAGTCCTCCGCAATTTGCATTGCTGGGTCCACTGATTCAAATGCTAATCGCATCTGGAAAGACCATCAGACACACACTTCAAACCGATGTTCAAACTGGACAACTGTGGCTTACTCAAGTTGACACATAACATTTACCATCACAATCCCTTATAAAAAGTTTGGAATACTATGGAAAGAAAGTCTGGGAACAGAATGAGGAGACCCCAGCTACTCAGTGTTGTTTATTTTTCAGGAAGGCCATAGAGAACCTTTGAATTTTTTTCAAGAGAGAAATGACAAGATCAGAACTAGGCTTTTGGAAGGTACTTGGACTGGATGGCTTAGAGAAGGAAGGGGCAAGAGAGGAGACCAGTCGGTAGAATACTGTAACAGTCAAAGTGAGAGGTGATGAGCGTATGTATTAGCAGGGTAACTATAGGGTAATGTTGGTTTAATGGAGGAAAGGATGGGTGTTTTCAATTTCAAGCTCTGCTTAACTGGTTTATTGTGGGAAAGGGAGGGATGATGGTGGATTTGGGTTTACAGAAATGAGAATGGGCTAGTTTATCTGGGAAAGTCCATTGTTGAACACTGAAACCAATAGTTCAAAAGCATGGCCTTCCTTCACCCACTCATTCGCAACAAATATTTACTAAATATTTACTGAAGTGCCTACTCTGTATCAGTCCTATACACCTGGAACCTCTAGTCCAATGTGCAATCTAGAGACTAATCATATTGTAACAATCTAGTTACAGTAGCCCAGAAATCCACGGCCTCAGATGGGGGATTGGCAGTTGAAGCACCCAAGTCAGCATTGAGGGATCTGGGGCTACTTTCCTGTAGGAGGGGACTTCTAAGCTGAAAATTCTAGCCAGCCAGAGGAGGGTCTTGTTCCTCAGGCCCAGACACTGTGTAGGAGCTGAGGATCCCCAGGTAAATAAGACCGTATTTTATGCCCTGATGGGTGCAAATATGACAATGCCAGCTGATACAAATGCAGCTAAGTCATACATATATATCTTTAATTAAAATCAAAAGGAGATAAAACAAAACCTCTTCTACATGTAAAGTTACCTTTTAAAGGCTGGGCTGTCTGGAACTGTACCCACCAGGATGGCCTGGTGGGACATAAGCCCTCCCTCCCGTGCACCGCCGGGCGGAGTGCAGGGTCCTCCTGGGTACTGAAAGGAACCTAGTTAATGTGTCTTGGTGGCAGGTGGCTATTGTCCACAGATTCAGACTTCCAGTGGTTTCCATAGACCTGGATCCTCCGCTTGTCTGATTTCCCTTCACGCTGTGGCAAACGGGGGCTGAAAGAGGGCCGCACTGGTCTGGGGACCCACAGGTGAGGGAGGGGGAGTGGGAGAAAAAAAACATGCTATGTGTTTTAAAGAGAAAAGGAAAGTGAAATCTGAAACGCACAGGCAGAAAGCGAACCCAGGCCGACACTCTGTGATCCGCTGGGGGGAGCACACCTCGGTGGTTGGGGGGTTCACCTGCCCAACCTATCACCCTCCCATTCTGGTACCAAAGCCGAGAGCCTTAGGGTCAGAGACTGCATCAGGGGGACAGCATCCGCTACTCCACGCTCCCACAGGCCCCCCAGTTCCCAGATGGCTGCTCCCTACTTCCTGCAGCCTTGGTCAAGGCTGGGGGCGTGTGCGAGGGGCGGGGCTACGTGGAGCTGAGGAAAAGGGGGGGGTCGGCCGGTGGCGGGGGGCGGGGAAGCGAGGTAATTAGCATTCTCTGATCCCATTGGCTCTCCGCCGGCCCTGCTTTCCATGAGTCCGCCCCGCCTGCTGCCAGTGGTTTGCGGGGTTGGGCCGCATTTGCTGCCGCCGCGGTAGCTGCTGCACTTCGGTGCGGAGCGGGCAGACGCCGAGAGAACCCCGGGCCGGGAACCGGGAGCCGGCAGAGCTGCTGCTGCGGCGTCTGGGTCCATTTCCATCTTACGAACACCGAGGCCAGTGCCCGGCGGCTTCTGCTCCCAGCCCGGCCCAGGGAGGAGCGGGTCACTTTATTTTGGAAGAAAGGGGCGAGTCCGCGTGTGAGCTTCCCTCCTGGCCTGGCTCTCTCAGTGCGCCCCAGCTTTGGCACGGGCTCCGGAAGATGACTCCGTCGTCTGCTCTGTGTATTCCCGCGGCGGCGGCTCCGAGAGGCTGCCCAAAGTGGTAACACTTGGTAGTAGCCGCTAGTGGAAAAGTGAGCCGAGGCGGCCCGGGCTCGGCTCTCCGCGCGCCCCGTCGCCCGCTACTCCTTCCCCTCGACTCCCGGGCGGCTGCAGCATGAAGTGGCGCAGCGATGGCCAGGAGAGGTAAGAAGCCCGTGGTGCGGACGCTGGAGGATCTGACGCTGGACTCGGGTTATGGTGGCGCGGCGGACTCGGTGCGCTCTTCCAACTTGTCCCTGTGCTGTTCCGACTCGCACCCGGCGTCCCCGTATGGCGGGAGCTGCTGGCCGCCTCTAGCTGACTCCATGCACAGCCGGCACAACAGCTTTGACACTGTCAACACTGCCCTGGTGGAAGACTCCGAGGGGCTGGACTGCGCCGGCCAGCACTGCTCGCGGCTGCTGCCGGACCTCGACGAGGTCCCTTGGACCCTCCAGGAGCTGGAGGCGCTGCTGCTGCGCTCGCGGGATCCCCGAGCAGGCCCGGCGGCCCCCGGTGGCCTGCCCAAAGACGCGCTGGCCAAGCTGTCGACGCTGGTGAGCCGGGCGCTGGTACGCATCGCCAAAGAGGCGCAGCGCCTCAGTCTGCGCTTCGCTAAGTGCACCAAGTACGAGATCCAGAGCGCCATGGAGATAGTGCTGTCCTGGGGCCTGGCGGCGCACTGCACGGCGGCCGCGCTGGCAGCGCTGTCCCTCTACAACATGAGCAGCGCCGGCGGCGACCGCCTGGGCCGTGGCAAATCGGCGCGCTGCGGCCTCACCTTCTCTGTGGGCCGCGTGTACCGCTGGATGGTGGACAGCCGCGTGGCGCTGCGCATCCACGAGCATGCCGCCATCTACCTGACGGCCTGCATGGAGAGCCTCTTCCGGGACATCTATGCGCGGGTCGTGGCCTCCGGGCTGCCCCGGAGCTGCAGCGGCCCCGGCCCGGGCTCCAGCTCCGGCCCAGGCCCGGGCCCCGGCGCGGCCCCTGCGGCGGATAAGGAGCGGGAGGCGCCCGGAGGGGGAACAGCGAGCGGCGGCCCCTGCAGCGCAGCCAGCAGCGCTAGTGGGGGCAGCAGCTGTTGCGCCCCGCCGGCAGTGGCTGCGGCCGCTGCACCCCCGCCGGCCGCCGCCGCCAACCACCACCATCACCACTACCACGCACTCCACGAGGCACCCAAGTTCACTGTGGAGACTCTGGAGCACACGGTCAACAACGACTCGGAGATCTGGGGGCTCCTGCAGCCCTACCAGCACCTCATCTGCGGGAAGAACGCCAGCGGTAAGTGGCCGCGCGCAAGCCGCCTCCTCCCACCCAAACCTGCTACTAAACTCTCGTCGCAAGTTTGTCTTGCGTCCCCCTCCCGTGTTGTTCCGGCTGCCCGCTGCTGTCCCAAGACTCCGAGGGGACCGCCGAACTGGAGGCGTCCGGAATCCAGTCTGTTCCCCACCGAGCTCTAGACTCGCGCACTCTCCGCGGCTCCCAAGGGCCCAAGTTCCAGAGCGCGGGGAGCAGCAGCGGCTCCCTGTGGGAAGAACCTAACACCGTCGGGGGTGGTGGGTGGGGCAGGTTTCCATTATTTACGCCCAGGACGTATTTCTGACCGAGTCCTGCTTTTTTTGACCTTGAAGACGCCAGATTTACAGGCGCACGGGTTTGGTTCCCTGCAGATGGGCCTCCGTCCACTGCCGGGTTCGAGGGCTTCCTCGCGCGCTCGCGGACGCTGCGGGTGTGCGCGGGAGGAGAGGCCCCGCGGCCGTATAGGCAGAACGTCTGGGAGCTCGCTTGGCCTAGAGACGTAGGGAAGACACGTGTGTGTGGTGAGAAGGTGCAAAGGGAAGACTTACAGGTCCCAGGTTTTTCCGGGGCAGTGTTTGAGGGCCAGAGCACACAGATGCTGTGTGCTGCGCATTGGACAGCACTCCTTTGCCTCAGTCCGACCTCCCAGATCTTCCCTCTTGCTCCTCAAGGTTTCTTGTGGCAGGGAGCTGCAGCTGTCACCACTTGGCTTAAGGAGCGCCACCGGGGACTCGGGCGGGATGGAGGGGGGCGGGGTTCTGGAGGGGGATGTCACTTTAGGGTGTCGTTTCCAGCAGGTTCTGTCATTCCCTCCCGCACCCCCGTTTTGGAGGCCCCCCGCTGGGTGGGCTTTGAACCTGCAGTTGTGGCGGCAGAGGGGGTGGGGCCGGGGGCTCTTGTTTTCGAAGCCCGAGCCGGCGTTCCTGCCTGTCTGCAAAGCCGTAGCTAGGCACTTCAAAGCTTTAATTTTCCACAGGAAATGGTAGAAGGGTAACTGGAGACTGTGAAAGCGAAATAAAACTTTGTTACTTATTCGGCGGTTTGGCCTGAGATTGCGTGGTTGGAGCTGAAATGCAGTCTTTCTGGGCAACATTTCATTCATGTTGCTGCCTGTCGGTTCCCCGGGGGGCGAAGGAGAGACGCGGGGGCGCGGCCCAGCCCGTGGGGGTGCCAAGTGTGTGCGTGTGCATGTCAGTGTGCCTGTGAGTGTGCGCAGGAGCGAGAAGGCTAGCGGGGCTCCAGCAGAAGTCCCTTGGAAACCGACCCTCGGCTCTTGGTCTCTTCACCTGGCTTCGATCATCGTCGGGGGAGGGGAAGGAAGGGGCCAAAACCATGTGTGTGTTGGGGGCGGTGGGATCACTACTTCCGCGTTCATCCCCGAGTCTTTTCGGAATCCCTTTGCTAGGGCTCGCCGCCCTCTGCTGCCAGTCGAGGGCGAAACCCCTTAAGAGAGGGTATCTCCGAGGCTGCCCATTCCTCCCTGGCCCCCACCTGACACGTGTGAAATCCCGACCGAAATAGATGGAAACCTGGGAGAAGGCACTGGCCTTTGTGTGGGCTTCTTTAGAAGGGGGAGGGCTCACCTGGAAAAGCCAGCTTTGGACTGGATTGTTCTTTGTTTGGAACCCTAGCCCCAAAAAAGCGCAAGAGGGGCTTAATTTTCTTGCCATGGCCTTCACCCACCTCCCCTGTTCTTAGCTCCCCCATTACAATCGTCCTTTACTCCTTACTCCCCCCCCCCCCCCCCCCCCCCCCCCCCCCTGCTGCCACTGCACCCCCCCCTCCCCCCCTTACTCCTCCCTGAGTGTTTCCTTTGGGCGGAAGGAGCCCTTACAGGGCTCCAGGTTAGGAATCTGAGCGGGCAACTCCACGTCTGTCTTTGCCATTCTCTTGAAGTTATGACTTCAATTGACTCGCTTTTCTTTTTTGGACCTCAGTCTCTCATCTGTAAGATAAGGGCCAAGATAAATAAATAATACACCCCCGATCCTCTTGTAGCCCTCCCTGTCTGCGTTAGTAGCCTTTATATTTTTTCACACTGGTTTTACTTTTATGATCTTCAACGTCTTTTAAAGATAGTTTTTGTGTTTATCCTTTTCCCTGTAAGTATAATTTCAGGAAGGAGAAAACCACAGAGCTGGTTTTGGGCAGGGTGAGTGTGTGGCGGTTGGGGTTTGCAGGCATCGTAGCAGTTACCAGTCCCCAGAGCTTAGCGTCGGGATTGCAGGGCCCCTTCAGCCATCTCTTAGCCTGAGATATACTGTAATTTCATTGTGAACTCATTTTTCCTTGGGCTTGTTTAAAATGGCAGGTCATTTATGCAGAAGAGTTAAGGAATGACTACTTAATTTCTTAGGTATATCTGAAACATACATTAAACATCAAACCTATTTCTTGAATTATTTTGCATGGCAGTCTCTCTGATCTGTAAGCCTTATTAAGGAGGCCATGCCTTACATAATCGATTTTATTCTCTCAGTAGGATCACTTACTCATTTGTGAATTCACTTGTTCATCAATATTTATTGAGCAGTTAGTAAATCTAGAGAATGAACAAGTACTGTGGTAGTAACAGCTAACTTGCAGCCATTACTACCTGTATATACCCATTTGATCTTCAGCATTCCCTTTCTACTATCATCCCCATTCTACAGAGGAGGAAACTGAGGTACAAAGTAATTAAGCATCTTGCTTTTTAATGACAGATGAGTTCCCTGCCTTCAGACTTCCTACTTGCTCTTCATTACTTATACAGTTGAACAGCAACCCTTCACAGCCTGATATCTTTCCACCTCAACTTATATACCTTTTTTTCCTATCAAAGTGAACTAGATTTTATGTTTTTATATTCTTGGCCAAGTCTAAGAGGGCCCAGTACACAGTTGGAGCTTATTAGATGCCTGTTGAGTTGAGCAAGCTGTTGTGTAATATTATACAATGCTGTCCCGAAAGAAGCATTAATTTTTGAGTTTCTTGAGTCATCTTTTCAAGTCCTTCTACCTTGGTTACTGCTTTTTTACTGCCATCTCTGCACCTGTCCACCCTTCTAATTTGCTGCTGCTAAACTGCCATGGCCTGAGGAATCATGAAACTAATCACATGGGACTCAACTCAGAAAACCAAAGATATTTGGCTCGGACCGATCACATGCATGGGCTTAGGGCATGAACTTTGTGGTGACTGTTTTACTCTTCAGGGCTGGTTTTTTTTTTTCTTAAGTGGATTTTCATCTGTTTTGAAGAGCTGGGGTAACAGCTAAGAGACCCCAGTGAGTGTTGCATTTCTGTGGGATTTTAAAATTCGGATTGATTTTGCTAAAGCTAACTTAAGGAGCAGATAGAAGTGCTTCCCCATGCCCTTGCATGTGTTAGTCATTTTACCTTAAACCCCATCAGGGCTGGCCAGTTCCACTCATACTTAAGGACTTGGCTCAGAGATGATTTTTCCTGCATCTCTGTCAAGCCTTCCTTGATGTAACCCATCCCCCACTTCCCAGATGTGGGCCTTACCCATGTCTTTTCCTCATCCTTTGGGTTCTGACTCTGACCTTGCTTAAAGTGACTCCCCATTGCAATGTGGCGAGCTTGTATCTTATTCATCTTTGTATCTCTTCCCATGTCAGTGAGCACAGTACTTAGCACTTAGTAGATGCTGAGTACTGTTTGTTGAATGAATATTAACTGGCCCATTAAATCTTTGGGATTTAAAATTCACCCATCAACATCTGTAATCAACATTTGTAAAGGCCCCTGAAGTCAGACCTCCTGGATTTGAATTTCAAAGCTGCCAACTTCTAGCTGTGTGTTCTTAGGTATGTTACCTAACCTCTCTGAGCCCCATCCCCCCAGCTTTAAAACAGAAATAATAATTATGAATATTCAATAAAATTATGTGGATGAAGGTGTTACACTTTGGTGCCTGATACATACCTGGGGCCAAACTGGTGACGGTAGTTATGATAGTCTAGGCACAGCTATCACTCATGTCTGTCTCAGCTCATCTGCATGTGTTCAGTGTGGATGGAGCCTGCAAGGTGCAGAATTTTACCTGGATCCTTCCTCCTGATATTCTCCAAATCAAAGAATTCAGTCCACCCACCTCAGGGATTGACGCCATGGGCACAGCCCTACCGCCAAGGTCACAAAAACCTTGTTTTGGTCAAACGTAAGTAGCTCATTTTATTTGTTGTATTTTTGTTTAAAAGTCATCTTTAGTGAAGAGGCCTCCGTGAACTTTCTGTGGTGGTAGAAATGTCCCTTATGTTGATGGGGGGGGGGGGTGTTCAGAGGTATATGTATTTGTCAAAATGCATTGCAATGTAAACTTAAGAAATGTGCGCTTCACTGTATTGCAAAATATAGTTCAGTAAAAAAGACATACTCTCCAAAAAAGCCATTGGCACCTTTGAATGAAATTTTATTTTAAATGCAGAAAGAATTTGAAGGGAAGCCTGGAAGAGGCAGTGTGGGGTGATGAAAGGAAGAGGTGTTTACACTTAGGAGAGCGCACCTTGAATTTCAGCTCTGCCACTTTCTAGCACATGACTTAATTTTGCTGAATGTGGTTTCCGCATCTGCATGGTGAGGATTACTTAAAAAAAAAAAAAACAAGAAAAAAGAAACATAAAAAAGGAAGCCATTCCAAACGTACCGCATCTGATGATTAAAGGGATTAAGTCAGCTCCAGGATGGGAAGATGGCCTGTCACAGCGTAGGCCCTTGATATTAATGGCTTCCTTAAAAAACAGATGATTCAGACTTTTTGATGATAATATTTGGGGGGATTTTGAATAGTCTCTTTCATTTCATGGATCCCCAACATTTTATAAACATTGGTCACTAGGAGCCCTTGCCTCACCAGCCCTGGCGTGGTGGATAGGATGACTTTCAGGTCTTTTGCTTTATTGTTACCCCATAGATTGTGTTTCTGCCCTAAATGCCTACTCAGCAGTTTTCCTGTCCCTGCGCTGGTGGTGCCGTTCC